TTTGGTTTTATTTTAAAGTTCAAATATATATTTTATTAACCATACGTTGCCAGAAGATCAAAATTTTAAGGGTAGGAAAAGTGTAAATTGATTTTTAATATAAATATGATATCAGACAATTTTTTAAAATAGTTGCAAATTTGAAATCAGTATTTTGTTAAATATATATTGTTAAAAAATAAATTTATGTAAATAATATATGTAAATGCAGAGAACAGAATCAGAATATGCAAAACCTTCATATATTGAAGTTTACCTGCGTAGTTGAGTTTCTATGTTCAGTTTGCAAACTTCCATCACTGGCATAACTTATAGATAATGTTCGAGTTCTGGACCAAGACCGCTGAAAAAATCAAATATTTAAAAAAGATTTTGTATTGAAACAGATATTTACCTGACGTTCAGATTCCATTTTATCATTATTTGTTCCACTCATACACCGAACAAGATGAGCTAAAATAGCTTTCACCCATCTGATTTTTCCACAATTTAAAAGTTCCATTAACTGTTTAGGATGATATTGTGGCAACACTGGGCAAGCAATTCTAGATGCTTGGAAAAGCCCAAAGTCGGTCATATAATCTTCGCTTGGTATGTTATCAGAACTACAGACTATATTACCAAAACTGGTGTTACCAAACTTTTTCTTTTTATCACCAGAAAGCAATTTCAAGTTCGTAGTACTAGCTTTATTTATTAAAGCTATGGTAGATGGAGTTTTAATCCGTATATGAGTAGAATCTGAAACTAATGACCTTAAGTCATCGTCGCATATATTTCTACTATCTACAGTATCGTTAGTAGTATTTATTTTGGCATTTCGTGGTTTCCACTGCGAATAAACATGCATTTCTGAATCCATAGCCACAACTAAAATTCCATCACGTACCCATGATATTTGCATAGGTAGCGGGGGAAGACCATCAGCTGTTTGTAAATCAATTTGCCGCAGTTTCATCCAACGAATTTCATTAAATTTTGGTTGTGCTAGTGAGCTTGCTTTCCGCAAAATAGGACGATTAACTGACCTCGATTCTTTCATGGCCTTTATATTTGCTTGTGCGATATCGGATGAAACAGGAGTATACAATAATATTTTACTTCCGACTGCAACCGTCAAAATATGTGAACCATCTTCTTTCGAAACCCAATCAAGTTGAACTAAATGTTTTTGTGTAAGAGGACAAGTATTTCCATTTTCTGCAATATTTTTTTTTAATGATTGCAATGTGCTGAAGCTTGGTACAGCTAAAAGACCTGTGGGTGATTTAATAGATGATTCGGATGTGGTATCCTCACTATTTGCTACCCTGGTATCATCATGAGTTAATGTGTGTAAAACTTGATTTAATCTATGACGTTTTTTAATCAAACGATTATCATAGAGGTAACTCAAATCAATTCCATAATCAATATTAATTCGAGGTAAGTTTATATTTTTTAAGTATATGGTGTCTTCAAGCACCCATTCACTTCCGCCTGAACTCTCACATTCGTAAATTGCAACACATAAATTTATGTACCTAGAATCAGAATCCCCTCCTAGGGGTCGTGTGAAGCTTTTTCCATATTTATAAGCACAAGCTATTCGACCCGAGTATGCAACACTTATATTTAATGGTTGACCAGAAATTTCTATAGCTGAACTTTGTTGTTTACTTATCATTTTCCATTCTGACCATATAAATAAATTTGTGTCATTTATATCTGTATCTGCTACAGGCTCACATTTCCAAAATCGAGAAACTGAGTCTGAACAGGCTGTTACAATTATGTAAGGCGCATAACATGCTGGATATATGGAAGAAGAGCTTAAATGGCCAGCCGCTGGAGAAGCATGAATTACGTCAACTCCTTCAGGCAAAGGAAGGTCTTGCGTACAAACTTTTTTTGTATTTATTGATATGTGAACTTCAGAATGAGTAAAAGGCCGAAATCCAAATGCTGCATTAGCTGATGACGTTCTGCGGAAACCTAATTCGCTATCTTCAAGTTCTTGTGTTAAATTACTATCAGGTACATACAAAGCTGTTTCAGATAAAAACGAAGATTCTAATTTTGAAGATATTGTAATTTGCCATACATGAATTGTACTCCCCTTAATCGTTTTTTCAATAATAACAATAAAAAATGGTTCTTCAAACTCATTATTTTCATGTAAATCTACAATAGCATCCAAATCTGCTTCTAGAAGACCCTGACTATTGTTTAAGTATTTCGTTACAGATTTTCCTCCTGTTATTAATTGCTCTTGAAAAACATGTAGAAATTGTGTGTTTTGCCAATCGTGCTTTGCATCCGAAATTGGATCTAATTGAATAATACAACCAGGTCGAGATGTAGATTGCTGAGAGACTACTTTAATTTTATCATGCAATTTCGATTTTTGCATTTTAATTGTTGATGATGCATTGGAATAAAGTGAAGCCAATGAATTTGATTTTTGTAAGACATTTTCAGAAGTAGATATTTCTGCTAATAAAGTTCGAGCGTCAATTACTGCTTGATATACACGTAAATGTTCTCCGTCACTAGCTACAAAACATGCTGATGGAGAATTACTGTAACTACCTAAAGTAGTACTAGGTAATAATGTTGGAATCCATGCAACATTACTAAATGCAGAAATTTCGGGAGAATTAATTCTAGCCAACTCACTAAGTCCACCAGAGTAACACAATGGTCCAACAGAGTCAACTCTCCATAATATGAGCTCAGAACAAAATCCTAAACAAGTTAACATGTTCTGATTTTCCAAAAATTGATTTTCAAAACTATTTTGTTTTTCTGGCTCTGACAAATTATGATGAGAAGTTGAGACTAATAAGGGCAAACCTGGATGACAAGTTATATCATTTACCCTAAACCTATGACCAGATGCACGACAAATATGTCCAATACTTAATACCTGAGTAAATTTAGTTTTAAGCCCAAAAGTAAGTTGCCATAAATTAAGCGTGCCGTTTGAATGTTTAGTTACCATTGAAACCGATGGTGAAGCTGTTGTTTGTATATTATTTTGATGTTCACCAATAGTTTCATTTGATTTATCACAGTCAGCTTTATTATCCTTACTGTAATCTATTATAGAATGGTCTTCTTCTTTAATGGATGCTTTTTCTATATCATTTGCATCTACATTCTTGCTTTTTACATTATTACCTATTTCTCTAAATACCAATTGATGAAAACCCGTATTATATAGATTTACTGTTGTTGACATTGACATTGAATCGCCAAGTGGAAAAGCGGAAGGAATTCTGGTAGAAAATGATATTTGAGCTTGCCGAAATAAACCCGGATGAAAATCATCTAACCATTCTATAACCCAAATAAGATAACTGCCGTCAACTGGATGAATAGAAAACAATAAATCTGGGCTTTGATGCCAATCTTTTAAGAGACAATCAATTTTCATATCCAAAGAATCTGATTGGAATGGATTAGCTAAATGACTGTGTTCATTATTCAATGAATTAAGAGATGTTGTATTTGATATAGTGTTTATACTCTGCACACCGCTTGGAGCACTTTGGTAAACAGATTGTTTACTATTAATTACATTTTCATATGTATTTCCATCATCCACTGACACAGATTTGGATGACGTTTTGATATGTTTCGCTTTCATGTAACATATATCAAAATCAGATTGTTCAGATAAGTGATTAACAGAAATATTTCCGTTTTCTTCGTCTATTACTTTTTTTGTTAGTTCTTGCAAAATTGCTTCAGCTTGAATGGAAAAATGCATTTCTTTATTATTTAACCAATGAAGAATAAATATATTCTGATTTGACGGATCTGTAGACTTCATTGATGGAACCAGTGGAATATCAGTTTCAGCATTAATAGATGCAGCCAAATGAAAATGCATACCAGGCGATATTCCAGTTCCATGAAATCCATAAGAATGAAAATCATGAACGCTGCATGACGAAGGCAGAGATGGTATGGTTCCATGAAAAACATCTTCCAAAGTATTTACAGACGAGTTTCCAATTTTTGCATGCCGTCTTATATGAAAACAAGTTTTCATATGTTTGAGCCTCTGCATAAAACGATGTTTGTGCCGATGAGTTCTAAACTTCGGGTTTTGCGATGCTAAAGGATCAAATTGGGTCATATTAACAAGACCATCATCAGGTAATACAGTTTCAATCCAAATACGGCAAATATTGTCTAAACAAGATGTCACAATCATGTTTGAAACAGATCCCTTTGGCATGTACTTGCTTGTCTTACGCCATGCTATATTAGTTACAGCACGCGGATGTGCAATGTACACATATGTAAATTTAAGGTCAAAATCATTTGTAAATGCTTTTTTTCCAGAATTTGTTGATGGAAATAATACTATAATATCAATATTAAAACAATTTGCATTTCGAGTTTATGGTAATACAAATACAAATTTTACCTTGTTTGTTTTCATACCAAATTTTCACAAGTCTGTCATTTCGACCACATGTTGCAAATAATGTTCCATCCGGACTAAATGCTAAATGATATATTGGAATTGCTGTTTGACATATCCATATATTTTCCCATGAAGTGGAGTTATCTTCAACGGTTCCACTTGATGCTGTTTTCATTTCACGATCATATCCACCAATCATAAACTTAACACCTTAAAAATAAAATTAGTTGATATATAAATCTTTTTATTTATTTTTATACTGTTTGCTTCCTCTTCAAATTCCTCCGGAGATTTTTCTTTCCACAACTGAATGGTTGATCCACCTGTTAAGAGACGTGTACCTTCTAAGTTCCATGATAGAGTTATAATAAGAGAATGACTTAAAAAAGATCCTGTTTGTACCCATCTAGAATATAAAGAATAATATGCTATAAAACGAATTTATTTTGATATTTTTATTAAAAAGAAAGAAAAGGAATATAAGTTTATTGTAGGCAAATATGCGGTTCATTTCCAATGTTTTTTAGAAATACAAGGTGTTAAAAAAAATACAGGTTAGTTTGCATTTTATTTATGCATTCCAGATATCGTTAAAATAGCTACGTCTTAGCAGAAGCCAAAGTATACATTTAAACTTGAAACTTAATTGAAGCTTTTGGGTAAACATAAGAAAGAAAGAAATAAAATTTATAAACATATACAAACCCATTATAACGAAAATATAGTTGAAAAAAAAACGGAAATATACAAGTAAAAAAAAAAATCCCAATAACTTGATAAATGTGTCAAGACCACTGGTTAGCAGCTAGGAAATTATCAATTAAACACAGAAGGCATTAGTAGAGCTAAATTTCACTAATTGTTACTTTTGAATAGCAATACAATTCTTAAATGGTTTAAGAATTATCGCAGAGTTCTAATTTAAAACTAAAAATTGGCCAGAAATCTTTATACCTTCAGCAAAAATAGCGAAATTGTTGAGCTTAATATTAACTGATAAAACAGTGTCCGCCGTATTTGATTCTTTTTATAACAAAAAAAAAATTTTCCTAAACATTCAATTCAATAAATTTATGTATATATTTATGATTCCATTGGTGCTGAATTTCTGTTGTTTATCGGCGAAAAACTTGGCCAAGTGATTATTAACGGCTCTTTTGTCTGCCAATTCTTTACCATTAATAGTGTTTTACAAGCACCGAAACAAATGGTGTATAAGGCAAGGTCCAGGCTATATAGTTAATACATCAAAACTTCCGACAATTTGTTTCGAGTCATCTAATATATTTGTTTCATTCAAAAGGTCAAAAATAGAGATAGTAAGCTAAAAGCTTTTAAGATACAAATGGAGAAAGCAGAAAGTAAAACATATGAAACGTGTAATGATATATATTATAGGAAAACTAATAGGAACACCCTATTATATTGTGTACCAAAAATAATGAAGTCAGAAGTATTACATATGTACCATGTTTTTAAAGATGTAATTTAATATCAGTTAGGTTTCGAAAAGTAGTGAACTACACCAAGAATTCTATTTATATTCTTTTAATTAATAGAATTTTTGGCTGAATATACAGCTGTTTCGAGTATTGTCAAATACCCATCATCAGTGGTCTTGGAATTATTTCTTGCATTTAATAACTCAAATAATTTTTTGAGACTGGAAGTACAATAGGTTGAATCCGTGCCCTGTCAAATTTGAAGCTCCGGTTTAGTGTTCTTTAGCCAACTGGCTAAGTACGGCTAAAGCCGTACTTGACTTATAAGTTCAAACTTATATTTTTTTTGTTGATCTGCTGTGAAAGTTCATTAACAAATTCATTTTATTTGAACGAAATCAAAATTAATTAATTAATTACATTTTCATTTTCAATTGTTAAATTTCATATTATTCCTTTGAGGCATTATTTAGTAGGCAAAAAAATAAGATTGAAATTTAACAATTTAAAATATATGTTAAATATAATAAATAATAGAGGGTTATCGAATAGCAAAGAAAGGATAAACACAAAAATTTATTTAATTTTATTGAAGTTTGGCTGACCATACAACGCAGTTTTAAGTATTGTCAAGTACTCATCATCAGTGGTCTTAGGAAATAATCTAATTTTTATTTAATTTATAGTCCGTATATAATTTGTTTGGACTGCAAGTGCCAGGCTTAGAACTCGTGCCTGTCAAATAAGAAGCAATGACTAATCGTATTTATCCACAAGTAGCCAAGACTGCACAAACTTTCAGTGCTCTAGTTCCAGGTTTTTTGTCACTTATTTATTTAATTAGTGACATTAATCAAAGCACATGCCATGCTTCAAATTAGAACGAGCTTATAAACTACCCTCTAAATTTTAAATATGGCTTTTTTGTCACTATATAAATAAAGCGTAGTTTTTTCAGCAGCACTAATATTTACTTTATAATAAATAATGAAATTTTTTGATTTTCTGACTATTCAATATGCAAAAGAAGTCATTTTTCTAATCTTTAAAGTTTGTAAAGAATACAAATGTTAATTTTAGAATGATTTTCGAGTCGTATATTGTAATGTTAGGTTAATGCTAGAATTACACTCGAACAAAATTACGTCTCAAACTTAAGACCAGTATATATATATCAGTTAATAAGCAAATTAAACTCAGAAGTGATTGGAAGTTATACATCGTTCACCAAACATAAAGAAAGAACTATAACTGTACACAACAAACATTGCATAGCGTACTATTAAATTATTAAAGTACATCAACTGAGTATTTTGAAATTACTGATTTTATTTCAATTTATACAAAACTAACTTAACTATTTTATCATCAAGGTTGAAACAATCTGTTGTCTGCTATCGCTTATTTTAGTGGACTATATTATGTTTAAATACATTTCATTCTTGTCGCAAAAAAGATTCAGGATTTTTCTTTCTATTGTCTTTACAAATATATTTTTATTATCATAATTAGATGCGGTGCCTTGTGTGTCATAAAAAATTTAAAAATCTTACAATGTTTGCTATTTTAGTTCAGAGTACTTTCTACCCATGTTTTTTTTAGTTCATAATTCTGAGAATTTAAACGATAGCAGACTTCTAATAAACTGAAAAATACGTATACATGCATGAGCATTCTGCCGAGGGCTAAAATTTAGAAAAACTAATATTTGTTGCCTTGTATATTTCCTTATGGCATAAATAGTTACAGTAATACTTATACCTAAAACTAAAATAAGTGAGGCGTGTCCACTGACATGATGAAAGTTTAGACCCTTCAGCTTTATAATTTTCGCCTTTACCTCATTCGCCTACTTCATAATGTCCAGAATTTATGTGGAATGATTCACGACCATTGAGCCTAAAGGTAATATACTAAATTCTGGTATTTTTGTCATATTTGTTGTCAAAAAAACTTGGTCTGCTTGAAGTTTGGATTCTATTATATCTAATGCCGTCATTGTTCCGAAAAAGATATGTTGAAACGATCCAATGAATTCAAAGGGTGCTCTTTTGGATCTTTTAATATTTTGTGGAAATATGTTAGATATTGATTCGTATTGTTTATATTCTTTACTTGTCATTTCATTGCGTCCCAAAGACGATTACACTGCCCGTCAAAAGTTTGTAAATTTTCACAGGTTTTCCTCATTGTGATTAAAATTTTATCTGCTTGTTTTATCTTGTCGAAAAACGGGTTTAAATTAAGGTATACTACCATATTCCATGATGATGCAATTACGTCTACTGATTCAATTCCACACCCAATAACAAGATTAAGCTAAGAAAATAAGAAACTCCTCACGTAGCTGAAGGTCGTTGCTTCGCTTTCGCACATAATTAACGTCTCTTGTATTTTGTATTTTTCATCGCATGTAGATTGTTCTAATGGACATAATTTTTGTACCATTCTTTTCATATCGCCAAGTGCTGTTTTGACTGTAACCGTTCTTATGAGACCATCATTCTCCGGGTAGATTTCTATTACCTTTGCCGGTGGCCACCCTGGCTAGATACGTTTCTTCATTTTTTATTAAAATCACTTGCCTTTTTTCCAAATTGTCATGTGGAACTTTCCATTTGTACCTCCATTGGAAGGATGACAAATACTTCACTTTTCATTTTTTTCAATAATTCATTATTAATTTCTTTAATGGTTTCCACCGGTTTCAATTACTAATTGCACCCTTTGAAACTGGTTAACGGACGCTTAATAACGATCTTATTATTGCATTTTTCTTTATATTCAACCAATTTGGAGTTAATGAATTTAACTTCCGATACTTTTGCGTTTTTCTCTGATACCGTTATTATATTACTTTGTAATAGCATCTCAATTTTTGAAAGTAATGTGAAAGGATTAGTGGAACAGTAATCTTGAGTTAATTTTCTCCATTCTGCAAGTTCATCTTTTTCATGTTTTAACTTAACCTGTAGAGCGGCTGTGCTTCCTTATTCCATTTCAAGTTGCTTTTTTAAATCATATATTTGTTCTTCAATCAATAGTTTATCACCATTTAAATGTTTATTTTCGGTACGCAAAAACCTAACCTCTTTTTCCATCTCAGTAATGTTTGATAAATACGAATGATTATTGTTATTCTTATTATTCTTTGAACAACTTTCATTCTAGCTCTATGATGCCCCGACTGTTAAATTCAATAAACATCATTGATCTTCGTTATTACCTTATATGGTCCTTTCCAATGGGTCTGTAGTTTTGAAGACAAGACCTTCTTCCGTTGTGGATTATGGAACCACACTAGGTCTCCTTGCTGGAAACCTTCTAAATTCCTTCTCAAATCACACCTGACCTTCATTTTGTCACTGGTGAGTAGGAGCCGTCTTCTGATGATGAATTTAATCTAATTGGGCCCGCTTACTTCCAGTGTAGTCACATGTCATCTTGCCGCAAGATGGCGTTATTCCAAATTTCAAGTCAGCGGATAATCTGACACCGGTGCCAAAAACTGTTTTTTGGTGTAACTGTTTTTTGTTCTTTACTGAGGTACTCGTTTAATGTATGATTGAATGATTCAACCATACCATTTGACTGAGGATGTAGATGCGTTGTACGAGTTTTATTTATTCCTAGTAACGTGCAAACTTCTCTGAAAATTGTTGACTCGAAATTTCGCCCTTGGTCTGAATGCAGTTTCAGTGAAACACCAAATCGCGTAACCCATTTGTTTATGAAAACTTCTGCAATCATGCTAGATTCCTGTTTTGGAATTGGATACACTTCTGGCCACCACTTCAGTTACTACTAACATGTACTTATTTCGCGCGTTACTAGTAGGGAAAGGTTCAACGATATCCATTGCAATTCGCTCAAAAGGAGCACCAAAATTATATTGTTGCATTTTACCACGACTTCTAGTACTCGGAAATTTTGAAAGGAAAGAACGCATTTCAGTATAGCATCCGCAACCGGAGCTTGGCACCCGA